TAACCGATTGATATGTCCAACACATACTGCCACTTGCAACAAACTTTTCAATTTCTTGACTTATGCCCGGCCAGTAGAATACATCACGCGCTCTACGTAGGGTAACTTGTATACCTCCATGGTTGCAATGGAGAGTTTCAATCATTTCTTTTCTCATTCAGCATGCTTGTTAGAACAATCAAACGCTCACCTTTGAAAATTACACCATTCTGCTCCGTCAACTCATCTCGGATTGGATGAAAAGGATGCAACACTGGTAGAACATCACTCCTTTTGATTGGCCAAACTTCTTTAACTACTGTCACTAACGCTTGTAATGTGCCATCTGCTCCAGTTTCTTGTTTAATTTGGCTCAGGGTGGAATCTTTTACAGACAAATTTCTTAGCATATCAATCTCTTCCACTTCCTGCTCTGTAGCTCATCTTCTATCATGTAGGCACCTCACGTCTTCGTTCTCAGAGTTGTATAGTAGGTACCGTCGACCCGGATTTTTGTGGTGGAGTGTGGTGGAGTGTGGTGGTAATTAATTATTCCACCACATCATAAGGTGGTGTGAGGTGGTGTGTGGTGGCGCATCATCATTAGCATAGAATTAGGTGGTTGATGGTGGGTGATGGTGAGTGAAGGCGAGGTGTTGAGGAGTGTGGAGGGTAATTAGCATACCTCCACATTAATTAATATATCTCCATTGAGGAAGGTAATTAATATGCATGACGGCACTCGGGCGAGCTTAGAGAAGATCGGACAAAACTTGCTGACTAGACCTTTTTTTAGCGTCCCTCCACGTGTGTGATACAATAGAGGGATTAATGTTGGTTTGCTATGAATAGTTCGAGTCCCTCACTTGGCGAAATTGATAAATTTTCCCAACCGCCATAACGACTACTGTCCTAGCTTCGCTCTACCAACTGAGCTATCACAAGTGCGTGTTTTAATCACGCAAAATATCCTCGAATATACCTGTGGAATATGATTACTTTTCACTTTAGTATTAATAGTGAGTGCGATGATTTACCAGAGCAAGTAATATAAAGTTTCTCAAAGATATAGCACAATGCTTGTGCTACTTTAAACGAAATAAAAACGGTGGTTTTACAAGCACATTTTCAAAGTAGAGTTTTAAATCTATAGTTTTACTGATAAAAACATAAATATTCTGATGGTAGTGTTGTCAGGTAATTCCCACGCGTATAAGACAAAGGTTGAAGTAATTAAGGGTATTATGCCAATACGAATTTACATAACCAATGGGATCCTGATGGATATAAATGGATATTATTACGGGCGGTCGTGGACATGTTCAGGCGAACAGTCATTTCTAAAATCTGCTTACGGTTTAACAGGCAAACTTGATTAACTGTTATTTGTATCAATAAACATGTTCTAAACTTTGCAAATGGACCTATTCCGTAATGAACAAAATTTTGATTTAGAGAAGTGTAGACAATGTTTTAACACAGGTTGAAAGAGCATCACAAAATTAGTACTATTCCGAAGTTTCGTTGCAAAATGTTCTAAAATGCGGATAATATAGCCCTGCGAAATTTGCCGTTTTCCAGTCATTCTGTATTGCACACAGGAAAATGATACCTTTTTTCAGAAAGCGGTATCAATTTCCCGCGCGTAATACAAATGACTAAAAAACGGAAAACTTCGAAGGGCTATATTATGCACATTTTACAACATTTCGCAACGAAACTTTGGAATATTACTAATTTTGCGATGCTCTTTCAAGCTGTGGTGAAATGTTTGTCTAGACTTGTCTATATCAAAATTTGTTCATCAGGGAATAGGTCCATTAGCGTTGTTATGTGTTGCTAAGTAATTAGGTGAGATGTAGGTAATTAAGGGATTGGGCAAACAAAAATCTGCATAACTAAATGTATCCCAATGGATAGATAGCGATTATTTATAACGCATGTGTATGCCTTAAAATCGGGCGCATGCGTTTGCCGGCATAAAATGCACAAGATTTCAGTTATAAAATTTTAAATACATTTATTTCTACAAAACGTTTTACAAAGTTATGCTTCTAAGATATATATCGTTATTTGTTTGATACGTTTCGCTATCCGATTCGTCATCGTGGGTGCCTTCATCCTACGTAATCCATTTGGTACGTCTTGGGACTGTTATATGAGAAAACAGTTTTAGCCTCTTGGTAGTTGATAAATTACTGCGTTGGCCTTGCCTTCTCTTGCTTCCACGCCCTATTTTTTGTAGTAGAGCTTTTGCCCCTTGTTCGGCAAACCCCACTTCCATGAGTTTTACAGATTCTCTACAATTTTTTTACTTTGAGTAGATCTTGACAGACTTTTGTGGCTGCTTGAAATGCTCTTTTGCCAACAAGTTTAGCACCTTGTTTGAATAGAGGGGTCGCATATCTCCCAAGGCTCTTGAAAATACCTCTGATCCCACAACCTCTTTGAAAACGTGCACCACGATACCCAGCGATATTCCCACCACGCTGCTGTCTCATGAAATGGTCTCTCAATAGTTTTTCGTCTACAACAAGTGTATCTCTCGGCATGTTGGTGTGTCCAGTTGAACTTCACACAGACAACCGATCAAACATCACTTTGTTCGCCTATTTTATGGTTAGAAGACTGCCTTTCATCCGTTCTGATATCTATAATTTCGCCTCGGCGACAATGTAGATCGACAACTGGTGATTACATGCGTGAAATCTCCTTTGGATACTTGAAAATCACAGATCATACAGCGATACCTTTTACAATTCGGATAAAAATCTGTCCAAGTGCATACAAGCCATGTACTCAAATGGGAGATGTATATATCTTTGTTACAACTGTTATAAGTTTCATCAGCATCAGATTGGGTATTCTGACGGGACAACTTGTGGGCTAACACGGAAAGGACATGTCCATTTACGATTAGGCTTTTATCAATTTCCAATTCTGCAAGACCTTTCATAAACATGCTCAATCCACTTGGTTCGGCAATATCTTGATGATAAGTCGTCACACAAAGGCCTACAATGTCAGTTCCTCGTATATTATGTCCTCTGCAAACAATTTCTCCTAATTTTGGCTTCGTCAGATGCTCCAAAATCCTCCATTCTGAGAATAAACCCACGAACTGTTGCGACCAAATTCCGAATCGACTTTGCATCTCTGACCTTCAAGGTTTTCATTGTTTTGCTATCATTCATCAAAATTTTAATCAACTCTTTGTCATCTCCAAATGTTGACTTCCTTCATTTTCATAATTTCTCTTCATAGTGTGCTCGAAAATTTTTTCCATGTTCGATAATTTTTAATGTTTGCAGAAAATTGTGGTACCTTGATTCTCTCCAGATTAGACCCCTTTTGTTTGGGTTCCATTTTAGTCTCCACTTTGATGTTTGATCTACTTCACATTTTCGTCGATATTCTTCTAACTTTGAGAGTAAATCGCCATATGCAATGAGTTCCGTAAAAAATATCATGGTTTGTAAAATCGGCTTTCTCAATGTCAGCTTCGACCATTAAATCGGTAATTCCATCATGTATTTCTCTTACAGCTTTATATTTTACCTTGACTTCGCCAAAAGCCTCTTCAAGACTATGTATTTCCGGGCGAGCTTCTAGCACAAATTCGAAGCTTTTTACCTCGTTGTCGAACTTTTTCTTCGCCGAACTCTTCTTCCGATTTAACTCTTCAATTTTAACCATCGTTGATGCGATCTTTAACACTCGATGTCTTTGTTTTCTAGCGTGTCACTACTCGAACGCGTTCGGAATTTGTTATTGATCTAGCATATTTCGCCCAAAATAACTTCCCATTTCGCTCTATTAATCAAACTATTTTGACTGTTGTGAACTCTTCGCAACACAAAGACACGGACAATGTTCTAAGGTTTATTTCGTACAAGTTTTAATACATTTTTATCGTATTATTTGGCTGTCAAAATAGTTGTTGTTCCCTTTTGTCCTTCGATTTTCGATCGTATGATTAAAAACAACACGTGACCAAATTGACATAATTAATATCAACTAATTAGCATGCAGTTCTATTAAAGTGTCAAAACACTTTGATTTCCTCTATTGCCACATTTTGTACAATGTAATTAAACTATTAATATCGATTATATCAGCGCAAAACAAAACAAAACAGAGCAAAGAAATTCCCTTTAAAATATTCAATAAAATGCTAACACTTGTACATTTTTTACAAAGCCAAGAAACCGTCCCAAAAATGATTTGAAATTTAACGTAAAACAGCGATATTTCGTTGCCCAACTTGTAACATGACAAAATTAATTCTTTTTTTATAGAATTTTGAACGAGCGAAAATTGTGTTTAAAAATAATACAACGTTTACGCTTCGAAATGGGGGTCATATAGAAAAGTCTGATTGCTATTTTTATCTTTTTTTAAGTTCTTTGAAAACCTAAAATTAATATTTAGGTTTTATAAAACTATTATAGCAAAATACAGGGCAAAATGTTAATTCTGATGCTCATTTTCTGAGTCGCCTTTTTTCTTACAAATTACACTCGCACATGAAATTTGCCAAAATTCAGTATTTTCGTCATTTTCTAGGCGAATAAAAATTCTATTAACAAAAACTGGAAAGAAAAGCACATCTTCTGACCTAATCACATTTTATTGGCACAACCTGTATATGAGAAAATTAAGATGAAAAACAAGCAATTTTAGCAAAATACCTCACATACTGAAATTTGATGACGACCGTTGGCGCACAGTAATACAGTATCACTCAAAAACTAAATATTTATACTTTGTTTTGGACAACAAACGCATGTACTGCACATTTCAAGTAATATTCCATCAATATTACACTCTTGCTCGAGATTATTTGCCATTAAAAACACACATTTTGCAAAAAACGTCATTTTCGGCCATGTTTCAGGGAATAATTCTTCACTGCTAATTTCCCGATTGCAACATTTCAACGTCTGCTATCTTCCTTTTGTTTTTCCTCTGCTGCAGTACAAGAAACAGGGTAGCGAAACCTGCGTTTTTGTTGTTTTCACGATTTTTGCTGACAAAAAGAAAGCGTCCGCGATAAATTTGGTCAGCGACGACAGTTTTCCTCCTGCAAGCTGCTCCATTTACTGTTCGGAGTACTCCGGATTCTCAGAACACTAATGGAATGGAACAGAAGACAGTCACATGACTGTTCTGAACTGTTCTGACTACCCCGATTTTCGAGTAGGGAAAATTTGACCATTTTCACGTGATTGGAAATGGAGGCGACAGATTTTGTGTATCCAATGTACACTGCATAGAGTGTTATTTTGAAGGGTTAACCGCTATATATTGACATATACTTATTATATGCTATTTCAAAGGCAGGGTTGGGCAAAATCAATGAGTAAAAACGTTACAAAAGCATACTTAGATATACAAATAACAGTAAATCATTATATGATTTATTATGCGAATAACTAATGATATAGTAGACATAGTAATGCATGGTTGCACGCATATATAATAAACTAAACACTGTCCAGACCAGTGTTCCAAATGCTCTAGAACAGTAAATGGAGCAGCCTGCAGGAATCGACAGTTTTTCCATTTGTCTGCACATGCGCTACAATTTGCGCGGTTTAAAAGAAAGAGACTTGGGGTGAGTAAATATAGTAATTTGATTTTTGAGCGTTTTATTGGCGTTTTTAGGCTCGTTTTTTTCTGCTAACCAAAAAATTGTTAATCTATTGCATTATTGGGAAGGCGAAGAATGTATTGGAACGTTCAGATGCTAAAAAATGTATAAAATTGCAACTTTTGCGTAACCTTATACATCGGAACTGCCTCCGATTCCGATGGAAATGTCCAATAATTCCTACTATTCCGTATTTTGAGATGAATGAATTATCTCCCAATATAAAGTATATGTTTTAAGGAGCAGTTTAAACCATATTTGGTTTTGAGGCTCTGGGCAAAATTTTAAAATATTTTAATTTATTTTATTTTATTGTGCTAATCTTCACCCCCCACAAATCACCCTGTATTATATTGGAGAGAGAGGAAAACGTATTCGCATGATTTCAAAACTGCTCATATTTTCTGAATCAGTAGACTCTAGTCTTTCAACGGATATGCTTTTACAAACGGGATTAGCAAACACATGCAATTTCTAGCGGAATATTCGGAGGCACCTAGGGCGCTTTCCATTAACACGGCACAGATCAGTCAGAACGGTCAAATTGTTGAATGGAACACAAAACGTTTGGGTTTCGGACCTATCTGACCGGAAAATTTAGATAATATTAGAATGAGGTCCATTTTCCGTAGATATTTGAGAAACATAGACCAGATCTTTCCATTGATAGAGACAAAAATTCGGATCTGACCGGTCAGGCTTATTTAGACTATTACAGACTATATTGAACATTGAACATTTATTTAAACACGGTAAAATTTTCAGTGTATAGCTATGTACTATTTACAAAAAATCTTGCGTGCATCTAGTAGACTAATTTTAATACTAAATACTATATATACTATATATACTATATACTAACAGGTCTTCAAAGTCTTTTTTACCTTCCTCAGCAAGGGCTTATAGCCTTATAATTGTAAATAGTGCTCAACAACTTTTATTGCTGTATATATACAGGCCTTATGAAGCCGAATTGCGTAATTTACGTACAAATGTTAAAAATTATATATATATATATACCGAACGCATTTGCGATTGTCGAGGGGTTACAGGATTTAACTTCACCGTCGATGTCGAAAGATTGTGAATTGTGCTTCTTAAAATTCTTACAGGGAAAAATAGACTTAAGCCCTTTCCAAAATTTGCTAGGATTTTCAGAATTTTCGCTTAGCAAATTTTTATAATAAGACGATTTTGCTCTCCTAATTGCAATGTTCGTCTCGTTACGCTTTTGCTTGTACGCTAAAGAGTCCGCGATACTTCTGGTTCGCCTCGATTTTCTCAGCAGTTGGTCTCGCTCATTCATAATAGATTTTATATCCTCATTTAGCCATGGGGCAGGCTTTCCCCTTACATTCTTCTTAATGATTGGAGCATGACGGTTGTATAAATTAGTTAAAGTAGACTTTAGTAACAACCAAGCGTCATTAACATTTGATTCGTTGTAAAACGGCATCCAATTAATTTTCCGTAAATCAGTTTTCAACAATTCTGGATTGTAGTTTTTATAGTCGCGACAGGATATCAGCCTGGCATTGTAGTGGTTTGAATTTAACTTTCGTGCACAACCTATCATTTCGTGATCTCCAATGCTTGTAGGAATGACTTCAGATTGTACTAAGTTCACAGGTTTGTTTGTTAAAATGATATCGATTAACGATTCAGTACTTTCTGCGATTCTTGTGGGCTGCCTAATCATTTGTTTGAGGCCATGCACATTAAATATTGACTTAAGATCTTTATTGTCTTTATTGTCAAGAAAATTTGCATTCATGTCCCCGAGGAGTATGGTTTCCTTTGATTCACTCATAGCTTTTGTTAGCATGCTATTAATAAGGCGGGGGTACACATGGATTGATGGTCATTTTTGAAATGGCTGTAATTTTAAAGATATTCACCAGAGTTATGACAAACTATATATCAGTAGAAAGCTTATGACCTATAGAAACTAAAAATACTAATCACTAGTGCCTAACGTCCTTTGTAACCTGACACCAGGCGGGCAATCATACCACATGCTGTGCAAAACTAGGGTGCATTTGAGAAAAGATATCTGCTTATAAATTGCTTGGAATTTTAAGAAATTTTATCAGTAAGTAGTATAAGCATCATTATCTTAAATGAGCATAGAACTTTTGTGTATGATAAATCTAGTGGTCACAGCAGAGGTACAAAGTTAACATAGGTTTTTTCGATAATATTTTTTGTCATAAAATGTATTCCACACAAGATACAGAAATTTCCTATGCTTAATTAAGACAGCTCTAATAAAAGAATAAGCCCTGAAAATTTCAGGACAATTGGTTAAATACATCATGAGATATCTTTTCTCAAAGACGGAAAATGTACGTTCCGAGAAAACAAGTGTTAAAGTTTTTAAACACCTGTTTGAGCTGTTCCTGACAGGTTTCAGGGACTTAAGCCTAATTTTTTGTCATTAGAAGTACTTTTAGCACTTCAGAAGCCTCCAGCCTCATAGGTTGTCCCTTCTACTTCTCATAGAGCTTCTTCTCTCGGTTTTCTTTTGGAGCTGCTCCACCTGACAACGTCTGTTGTTTTCTTCAGATGTCTGGCGGTTAGACTTTCTGACCTGTTTCTTGTCTTTTAAGAGCAAACTTAGTTTTTCCTGCAGTTTCATGTTTGGTTTAAAAGATATTCCTGTGTGTTAACTTAAATTACTCTATTGGTATAGCTAAATTTTCCATAGTTTTCTTTGCCGAACCCTCTTGCTGGTAACAAGGATGTTTAAAGATGCACACTGCACTCATCGTGCTTACCAATGGAACATGCAGACCAACATTTACCACAGTTTTTTGTATACAATCAATTGTCAACACCAAGTTACATGAGTTTGTAAGATAACATTGTCTGTAACTATATTCTTGTCCTATTGCTGCAAGTGGTACACTCGGTAAACATATTCGGCCCAAAACAAGCTCTCAAACTTGGTACACCTTGACATGTAATTACAGTACCTAAAATGCAGTACAGAAACAACCTCATTAATATTAATACCAAGAAGCATTAAAATAGTAAAATTATAACAATGAAGCAAGAAATAATGTATTGGGTAGAGAAAATCGATCTCTTGATATCATAATATTGCAAATTTAACATTTTTGAGTTATTGTTTACTAGAATCAATCATTCAATGATAGAAAAATACTTACATCCACAACTTTTAAGTTCATCAGAACAAACGTTTGAAGATCTGTTTATAAGATGCCCAAGAATCCAAATCGAAGATGACTATTGATATTTAGCATTGAATGCCCATTGAAATAATGCCCGATTATTGCCTGAATGTGTTGACGTTTTATCGTCGTCTTTATAGCGCATTTCTTCACCCCAGTGAATAAAGTTTCGTTTTAATGCTTTCTGTGAACCATTATTAGTTATTTTTAACCATATGTTAAGAAATATATACACAAAAGTGATCAATATTTATTAAATATTGAAACACATTTTCGAGTTTGTTCTGTTTGAATCACTAGTTCTCAAAAAACGCATCAATGCGCATAATCGCCACGTAAATCCGCTGCAAAATCATCTAGGGATGAGCCTGTATCATTATTTTATATTAGGGAGGGGAGGGACAGCAGTATATTGGTAAAAACATGAAAAATATGAAGGATTCTGCCTTTCGTTACCATGGCAACCAAGCTGAAAATTATAGTGAGGTGGTTAAAAACGGCTCCTGAGAGAACAATTTTTTAAATTCAACCAAATAAATACTTTCACAACATCAATTACAAGTCTTTGTTTAGGTGCTTGGATGAATCAGGAGGGCGGTAGACAGACGCAATCAAAATACCTTTCGAACTTTTAGGGCGTATTTCAAACCAAACAACTTCAATTTTTTCGTTTTCTAAATCTAGTCTACGATCCCAAATAAGTCCATCCGATATGTAGGCACCAACACCACCCCCTTTCCCAGATTTTCTTGGTCGACTAATAAATGAATACCCGGAAATATCGTAATATGAGTCAGGTTCGAATCCGTCTTGCTCATCAATATGCGTTTCACTTAAAGTCAAGATGTCAATTCCTTTGAAGCTTTGAAATAACTCTGAGATATACGCAAAGTTAGACGATAGCCCTCTGGTATTTTGGTGCAAAATCTTTAAGCCTTTTACCTTAAGCAATGACATAAGTTCATCGATAACTCTCTCGCCACCACCGATTTGAGCTGATGTAGGTCCAGGGCAAGATTCAACGTCGCCACATAGCAAGATCAACAGAGTAATATAGCTTCGTGTTGAATTTCGAAGCTGCACGGATCGCCCGTCTCTCTTCGGTTGCCACAAACTTGAAGAAATAAATTATTCATTTCCACTGGATATCTCCTTTCCCTCAGTGGAAAGACCAACAGTGTCTGAAGTGACAAAAGCTGTCTTTTTCACCTGTATACAGGCCAGAAAAACCAACAAGATCAGAGCAGGTTTTAGGGTGACCGCCATACTTGAAACATCAAGCGTTATCGCCATACTTGAAACATCAAGCCATACTTGAAACATCAAGCTTGGATCTAACTAGCGAACAATAAAGAACTTTTCTAGCGGAAGGATCAGTAAGGTCTTTACAAATCCGTTTAATTAAGCCTAGGGTCTTATTTGCTCTGGATACCATTTCTTCAAAGTGGTTCCCCCACGTAAGTGTGTTAGAAACCAAGATTTACAGATCCGAGTATGACGATACACTTACCAGCTGCTGGTAGTCTAGATTATATTGTCTATCAATGATAGTACCAGGCTTTTTCCTTGAGATGTGTAATGCTTTGCATTTGGACACGTTGAAAGGAATACCCCAATCAACAGTCCATTGATGTAATTGCCCAAGGTCTTCTTGAAGAAGCCTACTAGAATCCGTGGAATCAATGGTTTTATATAGTTTTGAGTCGTCTGCATATAAGGCAATTTTAGAACTGTTTTGAGTGTAGTACGGCAGGTCATCAATGTATATAAGGAACATGATAGGCCCAAGGATGGATCCCTGAGAAACACCGGATGTTACGGGCAACCAATCCGAAGCACCACCATCAAGCAGGGGCGAAACTTGAGGGGGGTATGGGGGGTGTTACACCCCCCCAAAATACGAATCATCCCGATTGGCAGGGCAATCAAAGGTCTCTTATAAATAAATGATAGCACATAGGCGTACCGGGCGGGGGCAATATTCGATCAACAGTCGGGCAATTTTGGTTTGAAAAAAAAAAATGGGACAAATTCAGTCAATTTTATCTAAAATTAAGTGAATTTTTTGGCAAATTGTGTGATTTTTCGAAAATTTGTGTTATGTTCCGAAAAATATAGGTTGTCCGGAAAATTTTTTTGACCCCTAAAATGGTACACAGACCGGTTTTTTTTTGGGCGACGGGGGGGGAGCGCCAAAATAATTTTTCCGGAAAAATTTTTTTGGTACTTTTTGGCAGGGCATCACTGGTTTTGGCAGGGCAATTCTGCCAGACACCCCCCTAATTAAAAGGGGCTAGTTTCGCCCCTGCCATCAAGCACGACTCGTTGATATCTACCTGTTAGATAGCTTTTAAACCATTGTAACAGCGGCCCAGAGATGCCTAAATTTTCTATCTTTAGCAATAGGAGGCGATGCGATACTCTATCGAACGCCTTAGATAAGTCGAGGTAAAGCACATCTGTTTCTTTTCCACAAGAGAGGTTGGTAAGAATATCGTGATATATTTGTAGCAATTGCGAGACTGTTGATTTCCCTTTTAAAAATCCGTGTTGGGGGTCATAAATATTGGATGTGAGAAAGGGATAGCAGTGCGTGTTTACACATCTCTCCAAAACTTTAGAAATAGAACATAGCAAGGAGATTGGTCTATAGTTGGAAGGAAGGGTTGGATCGTCAGTCTTAAAAAACAGGTGCAATGTTTGCAAATTTCCAGTTAGTGGGAAAAACACCAAGTGAAAGAGACAAATTGAATACAGAACATAACGACGGCGCAATTTCATCGGCCACATTTTTTAGCAGTCGATTAGGGATACCATCGGGGCCGCTAGCCTTGTTTGGATCTAGTCCTTTGAGAACACTAGCTACTTCACATGTTGATAGTTGAATATTATTTAAATAGTTTGGAGGTATAGATGATCTAGAAACGTGGAGAGGATTTGGATTTAATTCGTTTTCATCTGCAAAGGCAGAATGGAAATACTTGTTCAATAAGTTAGCTTTGGTGTAGCTATTTGTAATGAAAGATTGACCGTTTCGTAAAACATTAATGGCACTTTTCTGATTGGTAATTGATTTTACATATGACCAAAATCGCTTAGGATTTTCACCAAGTGCTACTTCCATTTTGTATGAATGATCTTTCTTTTTCTGTGCTATCATGCGTTTAGTATCACGACGCAGATCTTTAAACTTATCCAAGTCATTTTGAGAACCTGTTTTAAAAGCTTTCTTTCTTTCTTTGCGTATTCTTTTTCTTAATAAAAATAAGCGTTAATAGATCTTTATTGATCCAGGGGTGCCTGTTTACATTTCTTGAGGTGCATTTAGGGATGGAATTGTCCACAGCCGCAAGAAACATGTCACACCAATTTGAAAGGGATGTGTCAACATCATTAGTAAGTAAGCCTGCTTCCCAAGGGACTTTCGACAGAAGCTCCTTGAGGCCTTGCCAGGCCGTGCCCCACTGTAGCAAAAACTTCGCTTCAGATAGTCCGTACGTGGTTTCGGTAAATTCAGCTTCATTTCAGCATTTCTTAAGTTATAGTCTGCATGTGCTGCGAAATAAAAACACTGATTTTGCAAATACTCTGGCGCTAGTTTATTGATTGTTTTGTAATGATAGATTGTCCCAATGCAGCTTCTCTAAAAGAATGCTAGAACTGACATCGTAACTGGACTTCGTAATCACTCTGGCAGCCCTATTTTGTAATTTTTGCATTTTTTCACATAATGTAACGTTAAATTCATCCCAGACAGGGCAACAGTAATCAAAGTGAGGTTG